CTGGCTTGCATCCATAGATGCTTCTCAAGCAAATCCCGGGACGTCATTCTCCCCCTGTACTCGGCCTTAGTGAGGCCGCAGCTGGAGTACTGTGTCCAGTTTTGGGCTCCACAATTCAAAAAGGATGTGGAGAAGCTTGAGAGAGTCCAGAGAAGAGCCACGCGCATGATCAGAGGTCAGGGAAGCAGACCCTACGAAGACAGGCTGAGAGCCCTGGGGCTCTTTAGCCTGGAAAAGCGCAGGCTCAGGGGTGATCTGATGGCCACCTACAAGTTTATCAGGGGTGACCACCAGTATTTGGGGGAACGTTTGTTCACCAGAGCGCCCCAAGGGATGACGACTAGGTCGAACGGTCATAAACTACTACAAGACCGTTTCAGGCTGTACATAAGGAAGAATTTCTTTACTGTCCGAGCCCCCAAGGTCTGGAACAGCCTGCCACTGGAGGTGGTTCAAGCACCTACATTGAACACCTTCAAGAGCAAACTGGATGCTTATCTTGCTGGGATTCTATGAACCCAGCTGACTTCGTGCTTTTGGGCAGGGGGCTGGACTCGATGATCTTCCGAGGTCCCTTCCAGCCCTAATGTCTATGAAATCCATGAAATCTATGAAATCTGGTGACCAGTCCTGCAAGGGCCTCTTTCCAGCGATGCCTCTGGCTACTCTTGATGGCGTGGTGCCCCGCGCTAGACATCCAGGGTGCTCCTACAGGAGCCAAGCCCTTACTGGCTCCAGTTCCCTGACCTCACACTGGGGGTCTTTCCCCTTCCTCTCCCTGCCCTGGGTACCAGGGCTCTTTTAGTTTAACATGGAGCCACTCTGCAGGACTCTGGTTACTCGGCCTAGAGCCAGGGCTAACTTGAACAGCGTCGAGCTGCTCTTGAGGTCAACTCTCCGTGCGCTGAGCTGTGCACCGTGTGGGACCCGAGCAGCTTGAGCTGCTCCCAGGGCAAGCTCTCCGTGTGCTGACCTGCATGCTGGGTGGGGCCTGAATAGCCTTGAGCTGCTCCCAGGGCTGGCTCTCCATGCGCTGATCCACGCACCGCCCACCCAGCTGCTTGCCAGGTTCGCAGGCTCAAGCCACCTCGAGTGGCTCCCAGAGCCTGAGCACCACGTGCTAATCCATGCACCGTTGAGGCTTAGGTGGTGTCCCAAGGACAGTTTTCTCCGGAGCTCCTCTCTCCTTGCTGTCCCTTGCTGCATCTTCTCCCCAGCATGCCGAGCACACTCTCCTTTTATACGTTTCTGGGTTTCCACCCCTGAAGTCCGGCAGACCTCCCGTGCTGCAGTCCACAGTCCAGTCGGGGAGCTCCTCTCCCCCACCTTCGGGAAAGAGGCGGTGCCTACTTTCCCCCAGCTTGTTTCTGATTGATGGATTTGCTCCACCAATTGGAATTGAAGATTCTTGAGCCCCTAGACATACTGGAGCTTGAGTAGGTAAGCCTGTCACATGTGGACATGCAAAAGGTGGAAAAAGATGGACATAGACAGAGGTTTTAGGCATAACGAGGAGATGTGAAAAGATGAGACAGACGGGGCAGACAAAGAGAACACCACATCAGAGGCAAAGTTTTGGCAAAACTTCACAACAAGGATTTCCCCAGAACTCAATCCCAATCACTCAGCACGTCCTAATCCCATGCCAAAGGACTCCAGCAGGCACAGGGTCCTCAGCAAGGAGACTACCCCTAACACTGAAATCCATTTATCTGGGTCCTGATGCAGTTCCCAAATTACCAGAAGTCTTTAATCTTTTATGATCCTATGGTAATTATTGTCACCAGTCTTCTCCAGTCAGTGTCATTACCCCATTCTGCTTTTGGGGAGAGTGAGAGAGACTGAGACTTGCTCCAGGGTATGCAAGTCTGTGGCTGAAACTGGTGCTGTACCCAAATCTCCTCACTCCCCAGCTATTGACTGAGCCAGTGGGCTTCTTTTCTTCTCACCCAAAACAAGGAACAAAACTAGATGTGTATAAGGACAGCAATGGCTGCAACAGAACAGACCACTTTCTTTCCAGTGTGAGCTTCCCTGGTGTCCCCAGCTTGGCCAGCCCTGTCTCCCCTTCCCTTCTCAGTCAGCTCCTTGGACCTGATAGACCCAGTGTTCCTGCCCTCCTCCTTCATCTCTGACAGGCTCCTCATTCTATGGACTTCTCATTCCTGTCCCCCAGATTAGCTCTTTCCATTCAGCCAGACTGGTCCCCTCCACACTGGATCAGTGATAGACAGACAGATGGATGGAAGGACAGACAAACGGATGGACGGATAGATGGATGGAGAGAAGGGGAGGAGGATACAGAGAAAGTGAAAGAAACATACAGTTAAGAAGAGGTGTGACAAATGTTAGGGTTTGGGGGAGGGAGATGAATAGGTAAAGAAGGAGGAAGGATGAGGGAGAAAGAAGATGAGATTTTTGACAGAGATCCCATCCAGGTCGAGCTCACCTTATTTGGGTACCTGCAGAGGGTCAGGAACAACAAGCCAGAATTTCATCTCCAGCTGTTCCCTCTCCGCCAATGCCATTTATGACCCAGTAGCCAGCTCTTTTTATGCCAGGTAACTTCCATAAATGCCTAGGGATGCTGGGATAAGTGAGAAGTGAGTGAGCCCTCCTGGGATTTGTCATCAGGGCTCTAGCTGACAGGGGAGTTTGGCAGCCAAAAGTGTCCAAGCAAACTGTTATGCTCTGCCAGGCTGCAATGTGGAGGTGTAGCAGTGAGCTTTGCATGTGGACAAAGGGAATGCCGCAGGCACTGCTAGCTCTTTGTGTACTGTGGGTCAATAGTCCAAAAACAAGGCTGACTTCTGCTTTTTGCTGCTTAAATAGACTGCACAGGAGTTGTGCTGTTGTACACCAGGTGGGGATCTGTCCCCACTGACTCTGATGTTGCTACAGCCAATATACACCAGCTGGGTTCTGGCTCACAATTCCTACACATATCATTTGCAGAGGAAACTTTCAAAATGTGGTCCAGGTGCAATCAATACAGTGATGGAGGTACCTGAGCTTGTCAATAGTCTGTAGCAACAACCCAAAGACACATGACCTTCTTCCATTTGTCTCAGTGCACTATTAACACTGAACCCAACTAATGGCAGTATTGACTGTTGACAGCTTTTGTGTTTCCCAAAGTATATTAATCATAATGGCCACATCTACATGTGCACTTTACTGTGGAATAGACTAATTAGCTGCAAAGGAAAGTGTCATCATCTACACGTGGTATTACGCTGAAGTAAGCTAATTTATGCCAGTGTAAGATGGTACTGTAGGGGACAATACTATCTTATGTCAGGGTAATTTATTGCAATTAAGTGCACATGTAGACATTGATCATGGGTGTAAATTGCATGCAGGCCTTCACATACTGCAGGCTCCTTTTTTCACCACAGGTTCTACTCCTGATCTAAGTCAATGCAGCTCCATCATGGTCAGCAAGCATGTGGGCTCAATCCTTATGTTAGAAATGAAACCATTGGTCATCAAAATGGGAAGAATTAAAATAAAAATCACCTTTCAACTCTGATGTACCTTGCAGGATGCTTGGCCTCCTGGGTTCCTTCTACCACTTTGGGATGTTGTAGGGACTTTTGGTCAAAGCATGTAAAGAGGAAGGAAGGGGGTAGAAAATCAGGCAGAACTACAGGATTCTATTCCCATCTTTAGCTGAGGAGTGGAGTCTTATCTATTATAGTGAGGGACTGAGAACCAGAACTCCTGGGCTCCCTTCTTAGATACAGATTACTTTTTTTTCATCCTAAATATATATTGGAAGGTATAAACAGAATGTTACTTATATTGTGAATGAATGTGAGGATCCAAACAAACAAGTGTATAGCCCAAATGGGACTCTGCCCAGACCTATGACCAGAGGGAAACAAAATCAGAGGAGCACTATGTCTGCAGGGAAGTTGAGTTAGAAAGCATCAAAGGTTTGGATTTGAGGCTTTGAGGCACCTAACTCCTTTAGGTCTCTTGGAAAATCCCAGGCTAAGTAGCTTGCCCAAGGAGCTAAGGACAGAGTTGGGAACTCAGCTCAAATAGTCTGAGCCCAACCCAATGGATTAATTACATGGCCACTGAGCAGCTCAGGGCAACATGAGAGTTTTGTCATGAATCTTTTCACTAACCCAGAGAAGGATCCAGCCAACTTTGACAAGCCAATTTCACACCAAAACCTATTTGAAAAGTGTAGGACTCCAGAAGGTGGCTCCAAAAGGCCTGGCCACCTGAATCTGTACCCTAAAGGGAATACGACACATGGAGGAGAATTTTGTTTCCACCAAGTAGGGCCTACCACTGGACTCTCCACGCTTTAATATCTATGATATAAACTGTCATGATTCCATCTCCATCCAGTAGACATGGATCTACATCTGCACTTTAGAGTAAGGTAGAATCTTGGGCCAGTTCCTGTCCCATTCTAAATCCCATCTTGGGGCCCATTCCTGTCCTCTTCTAAATCCAGGCCCTCCTTGTTTCTTGTACTAACAGCTTTATCATTCCCAGCAGGGAAAGGGTTCCCTGCTGGGAATGATATAGGGGCAGCTTCTGTCTCAACCACTAGAGTGAGGCACTTGGCCCCCTAAAACAGATGGATACCTGTAGGCCCCTTGGAATCTAGAAGAGAACTAGCCTGGTAGGAAATCCATACTCTTCTTGTCCTTAATCCAACATGTAATTTCCTTAGGAGCAATTCCTACTTCATCCTGTAGGAGAGCACTCTTAAACATCAAGGACATGTATTGAAAGAGTCTTCTTTCCACCCAGTAGGATACAGTGCCCAGACACCCATGTCAGGGGTATTAGGACATGCACACAGAAGCTTTGAATGGCTAAAAAAAAGTCCATTCCCACCCTAGCATCACATATTCATCTTTCTGAACTTCTTCATAGCCATTTGCACACCTTATTCCTCAGTGTGTAAATGACTGGATTCAAGACAGGCATGATGACTGTGTAGAGAAGGGAGACAGCTTTGTCCAAGGGGAAGGAGCGAAAGGGGCGAGCATAGATGTATATGCAGGGCCCAAAAATCAGGGTCACCACAGTGATGTGAGAAGCACAAGTAGACAAGGCCTTGCTCCGTCCTTCACTGGAGTGTGTCCTCAGCTTGGCCAGCAGGACAGAGTAGGAGATGAGCAGCACCACAAAGCACAGAAGGGTCACCAGGCCACTGTTTGACACCATTAGCAGCTCCTCGGTGATGATGTTTGTACAGGCCAGCTTCACTACCTGGGGCACATCACAGTAGAAGTTGTCCAGCTTGTTGGGGCCACAGAAGGGGAGTTGGAGGATGATGACTACCTGGACAATGGAGTGGATGAAGCCCCCAACCCAGGAAGCTGTCACTAGTCCAACACACACACCATGGCTCATGATGGTCATATAGCGCAGTGGGTGGAAGATGGCAACATACCGGTCATAGGCCATGATGGTAAGCAAGAAGATCTTGATACCTCCAATGAAATGGAAGAAGAAAATCTGGGCCACACAACCCCCATAGGAGATGGTTTGAGATGGGAAAAGGAAGCCTACCAACATCTTGGGGGCTGTGACAGAGTAGCAGCAGAAATCCAGGAAGGAGAGGTTCCCCAGAAGCAAGTACATAGGCATGTGAAGGTTGTGCTCACAGGCTACCAGTGCCACAATGAGGAGATTTCCCAGCACTGTTGTTCCATAGACAGCCAGGAAGATGAAAAAAAGGAGGAACTGGACCACTGGAGATCCACTCAGTCCTAGGAGAAGGAAGTTGGTCACTGTGGTATAGTTCTCCCTTTCCATGAAGTCACCTTGCACCTTAAACACACATCCTGAGGCAAAAGAAATAAGAAAAGCAGCTAATAGTTTTATGCTCTGTGCATGCCAAGAGCTACCCTGGTCTGAGCTGCTGAGGGCTTATGGCAAGATACAAAAAAAAGGTATTTAGTTGCTTAAACTCCCAGTGGTTCCAACAGGAGTTTAGGTGGCTAAATAGGAAGTAGGTGTTAGGCCCCCTAATACGTGAGAGTGCCTGACTTTACTACAGTGGGGTGCAAATTGAGAAATGCTGTCTGATCCAGCAGACATGCTCAGAGTATGCCTGCCACACTGGGGTGTGGGAGCCCTGGGTTAAAGTCCAGCCTCAGGTTGATAGTGTTCAAAGATTGATCTCCCACTTCCCAGGAGAGTGCCCTAACCACCAACCAATGGACTAGTCAGGTAGGGCCAGCTTCCACCCATCCCACTGAAGCTGATCTACATTCTGACCCTATGACTGAAAGGAAGAAAGCTACAAGTAATCTGACTGTAACTTAGGGGTTGGGGCACTTAGTAGGAAAGCTAAATCCTGGACTCTGGTTCTTGCTCCCCATACTCTTTCTGTAGAGGAGATCTGGGAAAAAGAACCCAGCACTCCCAAGTCAGTGGAGTGCCCTAAGCAGAAGGGTACAGAGTTGCACTCTTTCTTGACCACATGCATTTTGTATCCCTTTCTTCACAATAATAAGGGTTCAAGAGGAAAGGCGGACATCCAAGGAAGAGGGCCATGTTCTCCCCTCCTTCCTCCCGCCCAGCTATAGATGAAAGCAAAAATCCCCACAGACCGTACCAATCAGATCATGGGGGGAAAATCCATTGTGACCCAAATATGGTGATTGGTCTGACCCTGAGTGGAGGGGAAAGACCCACTAGCCAGGGACCTCTGGGTTTTAGTCCCAGCAAGAGCACTGGCACACCCCGGTCAAAATCCCCAGCCTTGACTGGAGTCAACAACCAAACCGTCTGAGGAAAGCAAAAAACCCCAAACAAACCCTGAAACATGTAGCAAAAATTCCTTCCTAGCAGGATGTGGCAACCAGCAAAGCCCAGAAGCATGGGAAATACCCACAGGATAACAAAGGCATAGCTACTCCTAGATCATCCCTAGATTGTCCCTGACTAACCCTTATCCAACCTCTTCCTTCCCTCAGCAGACTAGTCCACTGCCTCACTGCCCTGACAGTGAGGAAGGTTTTCCTGATACCCAACCTAAACCTACTTTGCTGCAACTTCAAGCCATTGGTCCACATTCTGTTCTGCGCTACAGAAAAGAAAAGGTGCTTTCGCTCTTCTTCATAGCAGCCCTTCAGATATTTACAGGCTGTTATCATGAAGAGTGCCTTTGGGGGCTGCGTGCAGCTTTCAGGCTGCAAGTTAAACGCTTCTATTTAAGAAGAAAAACAGCGAACCCTGATCAGTTCATTAAAAGAATAATTGTCAGCATGGGCCCTCGGCAGGGCATTCAGGGCTCTATATTCTGAATGAATTAAAACACCTGCTTGAAGTCCTGAACAAGCTGTCTGTGGTCCGGAAACGACCAGGTGTTCAGACCCTGCCTTGTGCTCAGCATTGCCGGTTGACTAGGCTTAGGCAGCTCTCTACAAAGCATGTGGATTTTTTAAAAATCCCATTTTGTATTCCCTAACTGCCCCCTTGTACATTGGGAACCTAAGCATCTAATTCTACTTTCAGGATTCCACTTTGAGGAACAGAAATAAAAAATGTAGACTCTGAAGGACTCAACTTGTAGGCACTTAAGGTTTTATTTTTTCCAATCTAATCCTTTGAGTGCTTTTGAGAACCTCACTAGATACACCTGTAGATCCTTATGCACTGAAATGTCCTTGAAAATCTGATCCTTTGATGCTACAGTGGGGACTACTATACACATATCTAGATAGACAGAAAATAACCTAAGCCAATTGAACACACACTCATGATTACCCAGACAGAAGGAAGTGTAAGAAATAGTAAATAGCAATGTTTACATCTAGATTTCCAATGTGAAACGTGTATTTGTAACAGCTGTAACGTAGCCTGACTTTTTTAGAAAACCTACCCCAGATCAGATGACTGATTGTGCTAAAGTCACAATTTTTTATATTTTTAAAGAAAATATTCTGTAAAATTCATAAAATATGTGATATGGTCATCCACTGTAACAGGGAATCAGATTAGTAGACTCAGGAGGCCTCTTTGAGTCTCGTTACCCTAATTTTCTTTTCTCAATTTTATCAAGTAAATGCTTTGTGATTATATTGATATTATCACATAAATAGCTCAACAATGCTCTGAATTTATTGGATAAAATATACTGATTTTATCTGATATTTCAGGACTGATTTATCACAAAAAATCTAATGAAAATGTTAACATTGGAGTCATCAGGACCAGAATTTATCCAATTAATACATCAAAATATGTTGTTTTTATCAAATAATTATCTAAGCCATTAAAAAAAAAATTAGAAGGGACAAATGCTCCATGAATATCATTTTTCAAATTCATCAAGTGTAAAACAAGAGACCCATTAGAGAACCCATTCTGGTCTCCTACATATAGCATAGACTAACATTTCACTGCTCTTCCATATTTTAACATAGAGTCTAAACATTTGCATGTGAGAAGCATTCACAGTTCACAAACCACTGCCATAAATATTTCAAAGATATATAAGTTCATTAAAAAATTATCTTTAGGAATGAAGTGAGTTTATTTTTTTAATATGGGAAAATGATCAAAAAATATATCATGAATTTGTGGATAATATCAAATAAATATACTGGTTTCTATCTATCCATACCCATACTTAGTTCTCCATCCATACATAGCCTGATACACATTCTCTATCTAAACTTATATGCACTCCTCTATCCATATCTTTTCCTTGGCTCTTGAGGCTCTACTGCTGTATTTTCCCAGCATGATGCACTAGCCCTAAATGAATCCAAATATTTCCAGTGGCACTCTGAGATTCCTCCATGTTCATTTACCTCTGCAACAGTTATGCTGATTTCAGTAGGGTGTATTTGCCTGGCATCTCTCTTCTGATGCTCACAAAGTTCCTTTAGAGATGGACACGCAGCCTTTTGCACCCCAAAAATTCAGTCTTCTCATCCATCTGCAAATTCTAAAAAATTAGTTATTAGAAAGTCACATTTGTTGAGGTTCAGAGCAACTCTGCCAAAGATTCACATTGTCCGTAGACTTAGATGGCTGATATATCACCTTGAGGTCATAGGTAGGGATTGATGCAATTGGTGATGACAAAAGGATGTAGGGTGTTATGCTGATACTTTGCTGCTTGGTGGTTCAGCTGCAAAAAAAAGATTATTAAACACCTATTAGGTGACACTTGCTTGTAAATCAGAGCCTGTCTCAGCTAAGATGCCAGGGAGAGCTGGTATTTCAACCTAATTTTCAGAGGATAGCGGTTTAGGTAAGGCAAGACAGAATCCAGGACAATTCTGCAAATCGCACCAGACTTGGCCAGTTGAACTAAAGTGAATCTCCCTTCTCAGTCACCAACTCCAAGTCACTCAAACTGGCACGCTCAAAGGAGCCTAATAGAGTTAAGAACCTAAAGGTCAAAGAATCAGGGATTAGCATCAGTTTAGAATTTAGGCACTTACAGGTTGGGTGCTACAATGCCTTGTAAGCACTTTATAGTTAGAGTTAGTTGAAAATACTTTGTCTCTCAAAAAAATGCAAAGAAGATATTTGTTACATTTAAAAAATTTTATTTTATGGGAAAATTCAAAATGAAATATATGTTTAGAAAACAAGACCATTTAGAATTTTTGCTCTTGCCCCTGCCACTTTTTAAAAACCTTTTCATTTATATAGGGCCTTTATATATTTTTCCTTTTAGCTCAAGCAGCTGAGGTTCATACTTTTAGCAGTGAAAGTACAGGGTTCAAATCCACATTCACAGGAAAACATGCAACAATATTCAGACTAAAAACTTAGAGCCTAAAGAACTAAGATAAAGGCATAGTGCGTGTTGTTGATGCAGGGACAGCAGTTACTCTTGGGTGCTGCTAACATGACCACACAAGGCCCTATTAGACTGGGAGAGACTCAACATGTGGCAGTTGTGAGAACATGTTGAGCAGATTCTAAGAGTGATAGAGAAAGTGCTGGTGGTGTCATATTCAACAGAGACAGGTGTTGTCATCTGCTTCGGCCAAAGGAAAAGAGAGAAACGTGGGCAGAGAGAAGGTTTTTCCTATAGTTCTAAGGGATGACTCAATTTAGTCCTGAAGTAGTTCCAGCTGGGGTCTGAGGCTTAGGTTGAATACAGAAAGCGAGAAGAACAGCACTCTGATATCACTGTGATAGGAACACTACATTCAGAGACAGACAGACCCTGGACCTATAGGCTAGGAACAGAAATTACACATAAACTGGTTTAAGTGATCAGAAATGGGTTTAAACCTGTACCAGAGCAAAAGTTCAGTGCACATAAAACAGTTTCAAAATGGCCAAAACTGGTTTAAGATAATCCTGGTTGAATGCTTTATCAGACTTAACTGATTGAGGTCAAACCGATTTATGGAACTTCTGTCCTAGACCCCTCCCTGGTTTAAGTTAAACCAGAGTCCCCCAGTATCCCAGGATGCTTCTCAGCCCTGGGATGGATTGGGTTGGGCTGTATGCTCCAGAGAGCAGGGCTGGCTCCAGCCCTCTCCTCCCTAGCCAGAGCACTGACAATGCTCTGGATGGCTGAGAAAGGGGTGTAGGACTGCAGCTGGGATGTACCTGGCAAGGGCACAGTAGCATCTGCCAGACTTCCCTTTGCCTCCTCACCCTGCCTCGCTGCTTGCTGCTCAAGCAGGGATTCCCGCCCCTCTCTCCCCACTCCCGTAGCATAGACCGCAGCAGCATGAACCCCAGTTGGCATCTGGCCACACACCCGTCATGCTAGCTAATTCTGACAGGGGTGTGTGTGTGTGTGTGTGTGTGTGTGTGTGTCTGTCTGTCCA